TAATTGGTATTTCTCTGATGGCTAAGGAATGTTGTACATTTTTTTCAAATATTTATTTCCTATTTATATTTCTTCTTTTAAGATTTGTTGATGGGATGATTTCATTTTGATGTTTAAGTTTTTGAATTCCTCATAGATTTCTACTGTTCTTTAGTCTATCTCACCACCCTGTTGTTTCTTTTGTTGTAGAGGAACTTTTAAATTTCATGCGATTCTATTTGTTAATCCTTGGGGTTATATCCTGTGCTATTGAAGGCCTTTTAAAGAAAGCTGTCTATACCTGCATCTTGAAGTGTTTTTCCTATATTTTCCTTTAGCACTTTTAGAGTTTCTGATCTTATAACAAGGTCTTTAAGCCATTTTTGTAAAGGTTGAGATGCAGGGATCTAACTTCATTCTTTACATGTGGATGTCCATTATTCCCAGCATTATTTGTTGAAGAGGCTACCTTTTTTCCAAGGTATGTTTTTGATACCTTCATAAAAAATTCAGATGGCTAGCTGAGTGAATTTATTTCTGGGTTCTCTATTCTATTACACTGGTATGTACATCTGTTTTTAGTACCATGGTACTTTGCTTCTGTGGCTCTGTAGTATAATTTGAATTCAAGTTTTGGATATTTCTAGCATTCTTCTTAGCGTGGTTTTGCCTATTTGGGGTCTTCAATGGTTCCATATGAACTTTAGATCTACCTTTTTTAGTTTAGTGAAGGATATACTTGTAATTTTGAGGGGATTACAGTGAATTTGTAGATAAGTTTCATAATATTGTTACTTCACAAGTATGGGAAATCTTGTTTTCTACAGTATTTTTCTTCAGTGTTTTAAAGTTTTTACTTTTGAAGTCATTCATGTCCTTGGTTAGGTTTATTCCTAGATATTTTACTTTGATGAAGCTATTGTGAATGAGATCTGTTTTCTGGATTTCTTTATCAACAAGCTACTTCATTACTGATATATAGAAAAGCTAGTCATTTTTGTTTGTTGATTTTGTATCCTACTACTTTGCTGAAAGTATTTATTATATTGAAGAGTTTTGGGGGAGTTTTTAAAAATATTGAGGATTTCATACATGTATACAATATTTTTGATCATATAAACCTCCTGTTCCCCTTCAATTCTTTCCAGATCCCTCCACTACAATCTCCTCCTACTTCTTGCCCTCTGCCTTCTTTTTATAGCCTATCCAGTCCAATCTGTTCTGTCCTGATGTGCATGGGTACAGGGCCATCCACAGGAGAATGAGCATCCTAATAGGGACCATTTCCCTGAAGAAAACAGACTCCCTCTGCTCCAACAGCCTTTAATGGTCAAAGCTCCTCAGCTATGGGTGAGATTTTGTGAGAGCCTTTCCTGGGAAAGTCTGTAAGGTCTTTTAAGATTACAGCATCTGAAAATAGGGATACTTTGAATTGTTTTCTATTTAGATCCCCCTTTCCCTTCTCTCTTGTCTTACTGATTTAGTTAAGACTTCAAGACTACACTGAGTACGAGTGAAGAGAAGGGAAGAAATGCTTTCGGCTTTCCTTCATTTACTATGAAGTTGGTTATAGGTTTGTTGAGTATAGCCTTTATTATTTTGATGTATGTTTCTGCCATTCCTATATTCTGTAGGACTTTTTATCATGAAGGAATGTTGAACTTTGTCAGAGACATTTTCTGCATCTCTTGAGATGACCTGTGATTTCTGTCCTTGAGTCTATATACTGTTTAATATTTATTATTTATTAATGTTGAAACATTCTTGTGTCTCTTGAATAAAACCAACTTGATCATAGTATATGCTGTTTTCAATGTGTTCTTGAATTTGGCTTGCAAGTATTTTATTAAGAAATATTACATCTGTGATCTTCAGGAAAATTGGTGTTTTGTGTTGTCCATATTCTGGTTTTGGTATCAAAGTAATGCTAGCACCAGAGGATAAATTTAATACTGTTCTGTCCCTTTCTATTTTATGAAATAATTTGAAGTGCATTAGTGTTAACTTTTATTTATTTATTTATTTTGGTTGAGAGGCTCTTTATTACTGCTTCAATATTGTTGCTCATTATAGATCTATTTAGATTGCTCATATCCTCTTGATTTAATTTTGGTAGAGCTTATATGTCTAAAAGTTTGTTAATTTCTTCTACATTTTTCAGATTTTTGAAAAATGCTTTCAAAGTATTCCCTACCAGCCCCCTACATTTCACTGATATCCAGTGTAATGTCTCTCTTTTTTGTTTTTCAACTTTGATTTTATTAATTTAGGTCTTATCTCATACTTGTGGTCGCTTTGGCTAAGAGTGTGATGGTCTTGAACTCTTTTTCTAAGAGCCAACTCTTTTTTTGTTGACTCTTTTATTGTTTTTAGTCTCTATTTCATAAACTTCTCTCCTGATCTTTATTATTTCTTTCAACCTAATGTACTGATTTTGGATTTGGCTTTTCCCTCCAAGCACCTTGAGGCATATTGTTAATGTATTTATTTGAGCTCTCTCTGATTTTAAAGTTTTATTTTTATTTTTTACTTATTTTGTGTATACATGTATGCATTCAAGTATATACATAGGCATGTGTGTGGAGGACAACCTTGAGGAGTTGATTCTCCCTTTCCATCATGTGGGTCCCTGGGCATTGAGCTCAGACTGGCAGCAGGTGCCTTTACCTGCTAAGCTATCTCACCTACCCTCTCTGATTTTTTAATGTAAGCACTCAGAACTATAAACTTCCTTTTAGAACTGCTTTGTCTGCCTCTAGAGTGTCTTTTCATTTACATTTGACTCCAGTAACTTTTAAATTTCCTCCTTACTTCTTCATTGACTCATTTATCACTCAAGTGTGTATTATTTAAAAGCCATCACCAGTCCTACCCAGCTGTAAAACTGTGACCTGCAGTAATGACAGGCATGGAAAAACATTCCCATGGGTGCAGCAGTGGCACAAACATTGGGTGCATAACCAAGTCCTTTCTGATTGGTTTTCAGGTCCACTCCACAGGAGGAAACACATGCATACCTGATATCATCAATCTGGCCAAGGACCAATGGTTGGGGAGTGCACAGGCCCCAAGGATGAAACTACTCCTATTCTATTATTATTCTACATGGACACAGCATCAAACTGCCCTCTAAAATTGTATCTTTCTATCCATAGCCTAATGCAGTTCTTAGACTCACCATAGAAGTTTCTTTGTGCAGTAGATGGAGATTAATGTAGAAACTCACAACTAGTAGAAGATTGTGAGAGTCAGAAATTAGGGAGGATGGGAGAAAAAAAGTGTCTTCTGGGCTTCATTTATAAGTTCATAGTAGCTGTGGTTGCTTGCTAAGACCTACATAAGAGCAAGCCAATCAATATTCTGGCATGAAGTGGGAATTCGTTTATGAACCCTGACTTTTAACTGAGGAGTTATAGACAGTTGATGGCTTCTGGGGAAAGGAGAGTCAGTTTTGTTTAAGGGTATGTCTTCTGGTAGGCTGACCAAGTTCCAATAGATGGCCCACACCCAGAGATACAGATAGCACATATTGTAGTCAATAGGCTATTTAAAAAAAAAGACACAATATTTTTGGAGATAGAGAGGTGGAGGTGATTCTGAGAAGAGTTGAAGAAAGTAATTGGGGTGAATATGATCACAATTATATGAAATTCTTAAGGAATTAAAATAACTTTTAAAAAATTTTTTATTTTTAAAATTTGTAATTAATTAAATTTTACATATCAGCCACAGATTCCCCTGTCCTCCCTTCTCTACCCCCACCGCCCTCCCCCCAATCTACTCCTCATTCCCACCTCCAGGGCAAGGACTCTCTTGGGGATTCAACTCAGCCTGGTAGATTCAGTTGAGGCAGGTCCAGTCCCCTCCTCCCTTCACCCAGGCTGAGCAAAGTGTCCCAGCATAGGCCCCAGGATCTAAACAGCCAGCTCATACACTAAGGACAGGTCCCCGTCCCACTGCCTGGGGGCCTCCCAAACAGTTCAAGCTAATTGACTGTCTCACTTATCTAGAGGGCCTGATCCAGTTCCATGGGGGCTTCTCAGCTATTGGTTCATATTTCATGTTTCCACTAGTTTAGCTATTTGTCCCTGTGCTTTTGCCAATCATGGACTCAACAATTCTCGCTCATACAATCCCTCCTCTCTCTCGCCGATTGGACTCCCAGAGCTCCACCTGGGGCCTGGCCATGGATCTCTGCATATGCTTCCATCAGTCATTGGATGAGATTTCTATCACGACAGTTAGGGTGTTTGGTCATCCGACCATTGCCAGTAGTCTATTGTGGAGGTATCTTTGTGGATTTCTGGGGACCTCTCTAGCACTTTGCTTCTTCTTATTCCCATGGGGTCTTCATTTATCATGGTATCTCTTTCCTTGTTCTCCCTCTCTGCTCCTGATCCAGCTGGGATCTCCTGCTCCCCTAAGCTCTCTTTCCCCCGACCCTTGCCCTTCATTACCCCCTCTCCCCATGTCCAGTTTGCTCATGTAGATCTCATCCATTTCTCTGTCGTTGGGCAAACCCTGTGTCTTTCTTAGGGTTCTCTTTTCTAGGTAGCCTCCCTGGAGTTGTGAGTAGCAGTCTAGTCATCCTTTGTTTTACATCTAGTATCCGTCTATGAGTGAGTACATACCATGTTTGTCTTTCTGAGTCTGGGTTACCTCACTCAGGATGATTTTTTCTAGACCCATACATTTGCCTGCAAACCTCATGATGCCATTCTTTTTCTCTGCTGAGTAGTACTCCATTGTGTATATGTACCACATTTTATTCATCCATTCTTCAGTTGAAGGGCATCTAGGTTAAAATAAATATTTAAAAATAAAAAATTTAAAAACAGAAAGTATATCATTCAGTGCTCATGTATTTGTTGCCTTTTGTAATTTTTCTTGCTATTATTTTCTAGTTTTATTTCACTATAAACTGATAAGATAGAATTTTAAAAATTCTTTTGCATTTGTTAAGATTCTTTTTTTAATTTTTAATTTTAATTTTAATTAATTTATTTATTTTTGCATTTTAGGATCTTTATTCTTGTGAAGACAGGAAGACCTGGGGAACACAGAAAAGGGATGGTGCTAGGCTAACTGTGCACCTGTGATCTCAGCACTTGGAAGAGGGAGAACAGCGGAGCCAGAGACATGCTTGGGCAACATGATAAGAGCCCCCTCTCCACCACACAGAAAGACACAAGCTAAAGTTAGATATAAATAAGGGACAGCTAGTTAAGTGGCTGGCCGCTGCAGTTCTGTCTCCCAATGTGTTTTTCAAATGCTGAGGCCACCAAGAAGTGTCACAAAGATGGGGCCAAGCAGACAAGACCGGGAACCCTCAGGGTGGTATGGTTACAGACAAGATGGAGATAATCAATGGTGTACGTGAAGAGAACATTAAACCTTCCACAGCCTCAACATGATCCTACTGGAAGGTGGAGTCCTGACATGTCAGTCATGACAACTTGAGAAGTTGCTCAGTGGCCTGTTTTTCCAACCACAAAAATGATCTGGCCCAGTCACTTCTAATTACAAAATCCACTAGGAAAAAATGGTACCTGCAGTGGCCTCCTGGTCCCTAGAAGAAAGCGCTGGTAGCAAAGGTTTGTCCAAGCCAGGCACAAATGTGTCTGTCCATAGACTGGTGGTCCCATGGCAGTGTATCCAGCCTCAACGGAGGAGTCAGTCAGAGCATACCCAGAGTTAAGGAACCTTCTGGAGGCTTTCTGGATGTCAGAGCAACTTCTTCAGCATAAAGTCTCATGATTAAAATGACCCAGAAACTAACAGACCCAATACAATCCTCTAACACTTGGCAACATGCTTGGGAGATTCAATGGCATCCAAGGATCAGGCACTTGAGTCATCTCACCTAACTGGTAAGGTCCACGTGTCTCAAAGTCTCTCACGTCCACACAGCCTGCCCAGGACCTTGGCAGCTATGCACTGCACCTGAAAACTTGTTTTTCATTTATTTTATATACCAACCACAGATACCCCGCTCATCCCTCTTCCTGCTCCCCCAGCCTTTCCCCCCATCCTACCCTCCATCCCCTCCTCCAAAAAGGTAAGGCCTCCCATAGGGAGTCAGCAAAGCCTGGTATATTCAGTTGAGGCAGGTCCAAGCCCCTCCCCCTGCATCAAGGATGTGCAAGGTATCCCACCATAGACAATGGGCTCCAAAAAGCTAGCTCATGCACCAGGGATAGATCCTGATCCCACTGCCAGGAGCCCCTTAAACAGACCAAGCTACACAACTGTCTCACTTATGAAACCCAAAGCTCCAGAGCTAACAAGGAGGGCCCTAAAAGGGACACATGGATTGCCCTGGGAAGGGGAAATAGATGAGATCTCCTGAGTAGACTGGGGATGGGGGTGGCAATAGAGGATAGGGGATAGGGGATGAGAACATGAGGGAACAGGATGGTTTAGCTAGAACAGGAATGGAGTGGGAGAGCAATGAAAGATTCGTTTTATGTAATAAAGTGATACATTTTAGAGACGTTTCCATAGGCTTCTTAGAAGAGTGTCTATTTCATAATGGTTACCTGTTAAGTCCAGTTGATGTACGGTGCAATTTAACTCTGGAGGTTCTTTGTTGTTTTTAGTCTGTTTGACCTATCTATTGAGGAGAGTATGTCACTGAAGTTTCCTGCTTATTATTGTGTTAGGACCTATCTGTCTTTTTATAATCAGTAGTGTTTATTTCATGGAATTGGGAGTCTCAAGGCTTGGTGCATATGTATTTACAATTGTTATATCTTCATTTATTGTTCCTTTTATTAATATTTAATGGGTTTATGGCTTGAAGCCTACTTTATCAGATATAATAACTGTTATGTTAGCTGGTTTTAAGCTACCATTTGCTTGATGTATTGACTTCTATCTTTTTACTGTTAGTCTCTATGTGTCTTTTCCAGCAAAGGTTTTCCTTTATTTGTGTGTATGTGTATTCTTGTGTGTGCACATGGGTGTGTGTGTGTGTGTGTGTGTGTGTGTGTGTGTGTGTGTGTGCCTGCCTGTGCATAGAGGCTAGAGGTTAATGTCAGGTGTCTTCCTCACTCATGTTTGTACATTTTGTGAGACAGAATCTTTCATTGAATATGGAGTGCATTGATTTGGTTAGAATGGCTGAGCAACAAGTCCTAGCTGTGGATCCTCATGTGTCTTCCTAACGAGTTCTGGGATTACATTAGATCCTAAGACCTCAAAATGAAGAAACAATATTGAAAGCTTCAAGAGAAGATCATAACTTTGTAAACAAACCTGTGAGAATAACATCAGACCACTCACCAGAAACTGTTTAAGCCAGGAACACATAAAATGATATCCTTCAGGCCTATCCTACTGCACCTGACCTTTTCCAGGGTGCTGGGGATCAAACTCAGGTCCTCCCACTTGTGTGACAAGCTCTTTACTGACTGAGCTGCCTCTCCCCAACCCCTCAAGTGTGTTTCTGGATGTTGTTTTTAATTCAGTCAACTAGTCTGCATCTTTTAATCAGAAAGTTAAGGCTGTTTAGATCGAAGGTTATGACTTATAGAGATTTGCTGATTCTTCTAATTTTGGGTTGCTTTTTTAATCAACTGAATTATTGTTTGTTGTCTTTCTATTCATTTTAAGGGTTTGCTGGTTTACTGAGCTGGACATAATTGACTCTTTTTAGTTCATTTTGTATTTCTATTTTCATGAAATTTATCCCTTTGTCCCCCTTCATGATTGAGACATTTCCTTTCTTCCCTATGTAGAATTTGATTAAGTATCTTCTACAATGCTCAATTGGTGCTAATGAATTACTTTAGCTTTTGTTTGTCTTGAAATGACTTTATTTCTCTGTCAATTTCAAAAGATAAATTTGCAGACTCTAGTAATCTTGGTTGGCAATTATGTTCAGGGCTTGAAGGATATCATTATATGCATTCTTGGCTTTAATAGTTTCTGTTGAGTGGTCCAATGTTATTCTCCTAGGTTTGTTTATGAGTTTTCATCTTCTCTTTAAGCTTTTAATATTGTTTCTTTATTTGTGGTCTTAGTATTTTGACTGGTGAATTGTGGAGAGGGTCTTCTCTGGATATGTCTGTTTGGCATTCTAAATAATGATTGTGTTTGGATATCCATTCTTTCCCTAGATCTGGGGAATTTTTTGCCATAATTTTGCTGAATAGAGTTGTTATACCTTTATTTATTTATTTATTTATTTATTTATTTATTTATTTATTTATTTATCTCTCAGGTCTTTCTTTGTCCCCATGGATTCTTGGGTTTGGTTTCTTAATCATTTCTTAGAAGTTATAAGCACACTGATTTTGCTTGTTTGTTGATATCTGAATCTAACAATTCCTTGACTTTGTCTCCCATTTTTCATACTCTTTCTGCTTGGTCTAGCCTATCAGTGATGTTCTTCACTGCATATTATTTAATCTATTGGGTTTTTTTTTTTTTTTTTTTTGGTTTTTCGAGACAGGGTTTCTCTGTGTAGCTTTGCGCCTTTTCTGGAACTCACTTGGTAGCCCAGGCTGGCCTCGAACTCACAGAGATCCGCCTGGCTCTGCCTCCCGAGTGCTGGGATTAAAGGCGTGCGCCACCACCGCCCGGCTGGGTTTTTTATTTATAACATTTAAAAATTTTTTACTTACCTCCTACAAATTGTTTCCTGATTGACTTTATTATCTATGTTACTCTATTCTCTAGGTATTTCTTCATTAATCTAACTTTTTGTATCATTTTTGAAGTCATTGATCATGTATACAAGTGATAAAGCATTGTAACAGCAATACCATCAAACTAAAACAGATACAGAAATACACTTCAAGTTAATTAAAGACAACTGAGATACTATCAATGACTGTAGAGTAGAAAATGGTGAAATAATATAGATTAAGCTATGAAGTTAAAAATGACTAAGGGTACAACTGTGTAATAGTAATAGTATAATAAATTAAGGAAGGCGATATGGAAAAGGAAGAAATAAAGGACAGTCTAGATGAAATGGAAGGAGCAGCAAGCAGAAGACAGAAGATGGTTAAGATGGTTAGGAGAAGATAAAAAACCAAGAGGTTAAAAATGTAAGTTTACATTAAATTAAAACAGAACTAAAATGGAAGGAGCATCAAGCAGGAGACTGACGAAGGTTAGAAAACAGAGAAAAAAACAGGAGAAAAAACCCAACTTCACAATAATCTAAAAATGTATAAGCAAAATCACATAAACATAAGGAGAATTTAAAATATTTAAACTGCTCTCAAAAGTAGAAATAACAGCAAGAGTGTAGTAGAAGGGTCAAAGGAACTCAAGGAACAAAAGGAAAATACAAAAATGATGTATGGCAGTGCAGGGTCCTCTAACAGTGCAGTCTGCCAGGTGCTAGGGTTGGTCAGGGCTTCCTTTCTGTGAGATGGGGGCTGCTTCTGACCTCTGCCAGTGTTCTGGACTGTTCTGGCTGCTTCTGACCTCTGGAGACTGTTCTCACTCACTTCAGGTCCCCCCTGATTTGGACACCTTAGGATGATGTGCCTAGGAGTATATCCTGAATGTCCTGGGGTATGGGAGAGATAGGTGGGACATTGAGATATGTTACTGAAGGACTGTCATAGTGCTTTCTAATTTGGCTTAGTAATAAACCTGTGATAGAAGAGGCTATAGGAATACTCGTTAGACATGAGTTTTAGAATTCTCAAGTCTGTAAGTGAAAAACTGTCCAGCAGAGAGATAGTTGTGTTTTATTACCCACTGAAGCCAAGATGTTTTGTAGGTCACCATGGCGGCTGATGGTCATGTCTCACTGGAAGGAAACAACTCTGGCACAACATTTGCTTGGGCATGATGCTATATTCCATGTTTCCTAGTAGATCTGGTTTATTCAGGTGCCCAGCTCTCAGGTGTTGGGCCTCTCCTTGATCCTGATAGGTAAATCTTCATTAGTACAAATCAACCATGTTAGATACATTTTCCTTGTTGGTGATTAGTTTAGAAAGAAACATGTAATGGTATCCTTGGCCAGTGAGATAGAAGCAAAATCTGCTTGTTGGAGCATGTGCTTCTGGGAATGGTTTCCTTAGTTTTAAAGAGACAGGAGAAGAGAAGGTTCCCTCTAGGCTCACTTGCATTGTGGTGTGAGGCTAAGATAGCTGTTGTTGCCACACCCATCTTACCACCACGAGAATTCAAAAATAGAGACAAAGGACAACATGCTTAGCCTGGCAGAGCTGCAAGGCAGGTGGGAAGAACCTGGGTTCCATATGACATGATTGAGCCTCTGGATTATGAGGAGTGTGCCCCAATTCCAAGCCTCATGTTATGTGAGACAGTATATTTAGCCTTTTTTGAACTGATGGAGGCCAGGATGTTCTGTAGGTCACCACAGTGGCTTTTTGTCGCAGTACTTCATGGGAACCCATCTTCACTTGTCTACCTGTCTGGTTCTCTGACAGGTTCTCACCCTGCAGGAGTTTTCTTGATTGACATCACTTATGTATGAGAAGGAGCTAGGACCCCACTTGAAGAATGGGGAGACCTCCAGAAACTATTGCCTTTTGCTTTTTCTTCATCAAGCTGGAACAAGAAGAAGATAAACCCCCATATATTTCTGAATTTCTTTTCTTCTCTACTCCTTACTTCTCTACATATCTCAAACATGATCATAATTTTATGAGCAACGAAGTTATACATAATACATTTTGTGTTCTTAAATGCATCAAGTGATCTTAGATCTTTAAAGGATGCTAAAAACAAGAACAGATAGTGCCCAATTTGTAAATTAATTTGGGAGTATAACTCTTCTTTTTAAGTGGGTTGCCTGAACTCAGAGTGCTCCCCCCCGAAACAATGATAGTTGACTTCAAAGTGTGGCCCACAAAATCCCGCATAGTCTACAATGTGCTACAGCCTTGTCCTTTAATAAGTATACTAACAAAGTCAGTGCTGACTGTGCACGCTCTGATTATATTCTGGTCTT